GCGATGGAGGCGGCCCCTGGAGGGTCCCCGGCCCCAGCGGTGGAGGCTCCCGCGCCCCAGCCCGAGGCGCAGACCCTGGAGCCCCGCTCGGTGAGCGCAAAGCGAGGGGAAGCCAGAGGGGGCGGTGGGCAGCCCCGCGGAGAGAGGGGGCGCGGGGCGGAGGGGCGCCGGGGACCCTCAGGGCGTCTGATGGCAGCCCTTTATCCAGCCAGAGGGAGCCCCGCAGGGTCCTCGCCTGGACCGCCCCAGTGGGGGTGGCATTTGAGAGCCCAGTGGCCGAGGCTATTCGGGAGCCCCAAAGGGACCAGCACGCGAAACAGCCTGAGACAAGTTCAACTGCTCAGGCAGGACCGGGCCGGGCTGGCCTCCTGACCCCTGTCTAGGCTCTCGCCCCCCACGTTCCGGTCCGGGTTTCCCAGAGATCCCCTGGACCCTGGGCCTGAGGCGGCAGCCTTCCTTCCCCGACCCCAGGCAGGTGGTGTGGGCTGGGCCACCTTCTCCAACCCTGGCCTTGCCCTGGCACCAGGCTCTGCTTGGGGAGATGGCCCCCAGCGATGTCCTTTCTGGCTACCAGGCCACAGAGTGAGGGCAGAGGGCAGGTGGGGACCCAGGGGTGTCAGGGATGGCTGGGGCTCATGCCACAAGGGTGGGTGTGTTGGAGTTGATGTCTGCTGAATGCAAAATCCACTGCGGCTCCAAATGAAGCTTCCCCCCCGCCTGCCTGTGGCTTCACCTCACCACCAACTCAACTCCACACCCTCCTCCCAGGCACCTCAGAACAAAGGATTGTGGCCCCCCCAGAAAGAAAGTCCCATAAGGAAGCTCCCTGAGGACTCTCATTTTCCAGTGAAAGTGAGAAATTCAGGGTGAGATGGATGGCAAGAGGGAAGCCAACACTGCCAATGCAGTGGCAGCATTTCATTCTCAGAACAACCCTGTGAGGTTGTACTACCTCCAGCTAACATGTGAGGAAACCGAAATGGCCCCGCAAGGTGACTGGCCCTGGGTCACGCAGCTAGAAATGGCAGGCGCGCAACGGGACTCCCCGTGTGTCTAACGCTAAGACTTGTGCTCCGCCAACTGTGAAGGGCTTATGATTTAAGTGCATAAAACTGTCAAGATTCCAAAACCATATCATGTACCTAGTTTCCGCTGGAATTTTTTTCCCCCTTTCAAATGCCATGTGCCAGAAACTTGCCAGACATATTTAGGGGGAAACAAAATTCCCATTTTGGAGAGGAGGGGGCAGGAGGGCTGTGACGGTGGATTCTGCCTATTGTTAACAGCTTTCTGGAAGTTGAAATAATGTTCATGTCAGAAAAGGAGGCCACATCCTGCTTCGTGTATGGTTTTCTTCTGTGGGCAGAAAGGGTGTGCAAAGGATATGATAAACTCTTATCTGGGAAGACCTTCCCTTCCAAAGGGCCCATCTGGGTGTCCTGCAAGATACCAAAATGGGTGAAGCCACAGTCTTCTCCACTCGCCCACCCATCCCCAAGCAAAGGACGAGGAAAAAGAATTCCCAACACCTTTCAGAGAAACGGTAGAGAAATGGCACTTTACACAGTGTTCTTGTGGCATTGATTCCTTCAACAATACTAGTATATACCAAGCATGTGCCACATGTCAAGCATTGCTTTGGGTACTGGAGACATGGTGGTGAATAGGTCATCTCTCGGAGAACTTATAAGTGCAGTTGGAAAACAGACTTTGGTGGCCAGGAAAGGCTTCTCTGAGGAGATGACCTTTAGGCTTAGACTTGAATGGAAGTGCAAAGGCCCTGGGGCAGCAACAGGCATGGTCACTTTTGAGGAATAGGACTGAGAGCAGAAGCAGGGAGCCACTGAGGAGGCTCTCACTGATGGATTAGACAGGGGAAGTGGGAAAGGGGAATCGAGGTGACTCCTGGGTCTGCGGCCTGAGCTGCTGGATGGACATTGGGGTCATTTAATGCAATGGGGACAACAGGGTTAGGAGTTGGTTGAAACAATGGGATGGAAGCCAGAAACTGTGTGTTTGGCCGTACTAAGCTGCAATGCCTGTTAGACAACCACATAGGATTGTGAGTAGTCAGTTGAATATTTGAGTCTGGAATGTGCTGGATAGCTTAGGGCTTGCAAATTTTATATACACACACACATTGGGCTTATAAACATTACTTCATTTCAGTGGTGGATTGGTAAACAGCCTCTCCAGAAAAAAAAAAAAAAAGAAGCTCTGATTTGTACTGTTTGCTGATTACAGTGGTGTAAATACCCTCACCATGAATGATTTCAAGCTACTAGTCATTCAACAACCGGCTGCAGGAGTCCTGAATATTTAACAATTAGCTCCCAGAGCCATGACCACATTTGCTTATCAAAACAACCTTGTGACGTTGGCAGGACTTTTCCATTTGACGGATAAGGTTTAGAGAGGGAAAGTGGTTTATTCAAGGTCACACAGGGAGATGGTGTGGAAGTTGGGGGTCTCCTGACCCCCAATTCACTCAGGCTTGTTGACTCAGAAAATAAAACAACCAGGAAGCACTAAGGGGGGAATATAAGGAAGAACTTCCCCCTGGAAAAGTTTAGAGATCATGTTTTAGTTTTTCTGTCTCCCTTCCCTTTAAGATGATTTGGGGCACATTAGGACTGAGAGGTTGCAGGGAAAGCCCTCAAGATATAGGGACCTCAGGATGCTTATGGAAGTCATGGGATGTGGAGAGCTGTTGTGTGTCTATGTAGGTGGGGCTTAGCTCTTGTGTCTCCCCCAGGACAGAAGAGCTGGTCGCCTCTCATTCTGTACGAAGGTTTGCTATGGCATTGGCGGGGTCCCCAGTCAGGTGGCCTCCAGCGCCACGGCCTTTTACCTGCAGCTCTTCCTGCTAGATGTGGCACAGGTGAGTGTGTGTGGGCAGCAGCCCGGGCTCCCTATTCCCATCTTCCTTAGTGTCTGGTCCTTCCACCCCCACCGGATCCATAACAGATAGCACCTTTGACCTACGCCTGACAAAAAGCCAAGGATATTTATTGTGGGTTGTTTGTCAAGGAAAATGGGAAACAATGTGAATGCCCACCAATACAGAAGCAGTTGTGTAATAACTTGTACTATCTCCATATAATGGACTATCATGTAGCCATTTAAAGAATGGGTTAGAATCAGTGGTTCTCAACCTGTGGGTCGCGACCCCTTTGGCGGTCAAACGACCCTTTCACAGGGGTCACCTAAGACCATCCTGCATATCAGATATTTACATTACGATTCATAACAGTAGCAACATTACAGTTATGAAGTAGCAACGAAAATAATTGTATGGTTGGGTCACAACATAAGGAACTGTATTTAAAAAGCCAGAAGGTTGAGAACCACTGGGTTAGATCAATACCAGTTGATGTGGAAGGATTTCCATGATGCACTATCAAGTGAGAAAAGTTAGTTTTAGAGAAGAATATACAAAAATATCCTATTTTAGCAAAACAAAGACATGCCCCATATATGTATGTTCATGAGTATATGTGTGTATGTGTCAGTACATGATCTATAATAATAAAAGTGTAATATGCTAATTAGACCAAACAGCCAAACAACCTTCCGGACATCCTTCCAGACAAACTTCTGGACGAAGCTGGGGCTGCGAGGGCTGAGCCCCCTTGCACGAATTTCGTGCATCAGGCCTCTAGTTAAAAATAAGCATGGAGAAAATGTACAGAAAATTACACCAGACTATTAATGTTGGCTATAGGAGGGAATGGTGGAGGTTAGAGAGCAGGCAAAAAAATGTTTTTTTAAATAGGTATTCATTATTTTTAAAAAATATTTTTTTATTGATTTCAGAGAGGAAGGAGGGGGAGAGAAAAATGGAAACATCAATGATGAAAGAAAATCATTAATTGGCTGCCTCCTCCACACCCCTTACTGGGGACTGAGCCCCAACCCGGGCATGTGCCCTGACCGGGAATGGAACTGTGACCTCCTGGTTCATAGGTCGACACTCAACCACTGAGCACGCCAGCTGGGTGGTATTCATGGTTTTTTAAGTGACACTGATATGGTTGCATTTATATAAGATTATATAAATTGCAAATGTATATCAATACATGAAAGGATGATCATCAAAATGCCTCTGGCGTTACCTCAGGATGGTGGGATTTCAGATGAGCTTTGCTCAGTATTTTTCTGTACTGTTTGAATGTCTTTATAGTGAGTGTATCATTTATGTAATCAGAGAAATTAAAACAAATTTATTGTGAGACAAAAATCTACCTGTGACTGTCAGCCTGGGCGCATCCTTCTTGCACTGAGCACCTCAGGTGAGGGTCCCTCGTGTCTTCTCCAGAAATGAGTGGGCATGGGTAACAATGGAGACGTGCCGGTATGTGGCTGTCAGCTCCCTCCCGCGCTCCTTTCTGCACGTGCACAGATGTGCCCTGAGCGCCTTCTGGATTAGTGTTCTGGGGAGCAGGCTGAATGGACCTTACACTCTGGCCTCAGCCAGGTTCCCAGATCCCCCTCCTGATGGGTGGGCAGGCCTGGACACCCTCTCTGACTCTGCCAGTCCCTGGCTATCCCCTCCCCTGTCATTGCAGATCCCTGCTGCCCAGGTGTCACTTGTCCTGTTTGGAGGGAGGGTGTCGGGGGCAGCTGCTGACCCCGTGGCTGGGTTCTTCATCAGCAGAAGCAGGAGGACAGGGTCTGGACGACTCATGCCCTGGTGAGCAGCCCCATGGTCCTTGAGGTCCCTGTGATTGTCATAGCCCTGTGGATGGTTAGAGGACAAGACGGGACAGCCGGTGATAGGACTGGACAGTAGGAGACAGTACCGGGC